TGTGAACCCTAGCGCGAACGGCGCATGTCCGGCTACGAGTTTTCTGACGCTCATAACTTCTCCATTCCTGATCCATCTCCGACGCTCTTGGGCTCGTTAGAACGAGCGTCCCGAGCTCTTTCTAATGCGACTTCAACCAACTGGATCTACCGTGTATCCCGATTGTTATGAAGGTTTCCCCTTTCCGCGCTAGCGGCGCTTTGCCGAAGGCGCACTCATGGTCGGACGCCTTTAGAGGTCCGGGCCCTTCTCCTGACGTCTTTAGCAAAACCTCCTCCTGAGGTGTCTGCGCCGGAAGCGTAGCTTCCTTATACGCTGGAGGCGCGTGAGTAGAGATACCTCAGAAAAGGAGCTTTTGCCAAAGGCGCCGAAGACATTGGTACATCCGACTGCGTGATTCTTTGTGTCCTCGTGACGATCTCATCAATCCACTCTATTTAACGTACCCTTTTCTAACTACAAACACTGCGTCGGTACTAGTTTTCTAAAATTGTTTAAATTCTGCAAAAAAAACAAAAAGTGTGTTACCACAACAGTGTTTGATAAGTAGACGGCAATGAGTGGAGAAGATGCATTGCCTTCTTTGTGTCAGTAAGCTTCTCCCCATATTCCAAAGATCCATCAATAGATTTCCATAGGCGTGAATGTGGTCTTGTATGCGCGTGTCGTGCTTCATTGTAAACCGTAACAATCGCATGTAAGTGTTTATCACAATCGTCGGATTCTTCTGATGGAACCGTTGCTGAAGTGCATCAAGCAACTTGGAAACTTCAGAGTATTCCTCAACCTGCTTGAGTATGGATGGGTCTAGATATGCCAAGACCGTGCAAACTGCTTGGTACTGCTAATGTCATTTATGCTAGAAGGTTTTTCTCCCAAGCATATAATGAGATCCATGGATCGTAATTTTACCTTAACTTGCTTTTCCCAAAAAATAATCACCGCGGCCATCAAAAGGTATGATGTTATATCTAAAATTTCCATCGACCTGTCGGCCTACCGACTCTGCACGTAAAAAATGAGAGACAATGGCAGCTTCAGAGTAAATTTCCTCCTTTTGAGTCATCATTCAATGTCTAAAAAGTGTCCAGATGCTTTAGTCGTGTTGAGAGCTTTCCAACGATACTCAATTTGACTAGTTTCCGATGAAAAAACATTTTTGAAAAATATTTATGACGGAATATTCCTGTAAAAACTTTGCTCTAGAACAAAAATGTTTGTTAGTTTAATTTTTTATTTGCAAGGAAAAAAAACTTCTATTGAAAATGGTGCAATTGAAATCAAAAGACAATTCAAGTACATGCACTACATACAACAAGAGTTTTTAAAATTCAAAATTATCAAGAAGATTGTAAAATAGAAATGAAGAAGTAGAAGATTTGGAAGTAATGTCATCACACTATTGGGAGCGCAATTCTCTGACTGAATAGAGTTTGAAATAGAATGATTGCTTCTTGACTTTTGAGCCATTTCAGACTTGTTGCAACAACAACAAGATCAAGTAGATTTGAAAGTCAAGAAAATATAATACGTGAAAGCAAGAGTTTAGGCTTTAGGATTTAGTACTAGCAAGTGTCACAAATGTGACACTTGGTGGTCAAGGCACCACTAATGACTTTGAAGTTAAAAATGTATGTCAAGTCCGTGACACGTGATCACACACTTGAATCATCAACATACATTTGGCTACTTACACCAGACTCGGATGAATATTTGTTGATTAGGATATCTAAACTCTTAACCCTATCAAGTTTTAGATCTCAAAGAAATACATGGGTAGTAGACGCCACCATCCGGAGAATTGTCGTGATCTGGTCTACTTGAGATTTAGTGGTGAAAAACTATCTTGTACACATGATGATTGTGTCAAAAAATATCACGGTATTCTAAAAGTATTTTGATAAGACCTAGCTTGCTTGAAAATTGACTTTCATAACTCAATAAAAGCGCTTCTTTAGTAGTTTACTAGTATCAAAGGCCACTACTTTGAAGAATATGCCCTACGGTTCCTAAAACTTATCATTTTTTTGGAAAAAATATGTTGCATGAAAACATTTGAACAACACTAGGGATAGAATTCACTTTAAGAAGATGTTGAAAAGAGATTGTTGAGAGAGATGCCGTAGGCCTTTGCTAAACAGGGTCTTGGGGTCCAAGACCACTGCACATCGAAGGAGGGGGGCGGGGAGTGAAGGCCACTCCCCAGCCATTCCCTACATGCGATATGGTCAAATAAAGCTACCCGACACGAAACCGCTAACCAAAAACTGGCAACCAGGGCAAGCCCGCTTGAATTGCATAGCGAAAAAAACTTTGTACCAAAACTGTCATAGGGAGGGAAACGATTAGAGGCTTACCATTGTTCATAACCACAGGGAAACTGGAGTTGGAGAGCCTTGTGATGGGTAATCATCTCGCGCGGGGAGCACTTGATGATATCGTGAGAGTGCACGGGGAAAGGCTCCGCAATTGAGCTCTTGAGACATTGACATTTTCTATTTTGAGACATTTTCTCTGTTTGCTAAGTCATTGAGACAAATTTCTTGCTTCAAGTGAGTGAGGTTGAAACATTCACTCCGTTTCGTTTAAGAGAACAAGTTCTAACGATTTCATCATGAAGATGATGTATCATCGATTGTATCTTGTTTGAGTCTATGTTAGAAAGTCTAAACTACAACAATGCATCTAAGTAATTTGTATGTAAGTAATTTTCTTTGTTGAATTTGATGTTTTGGAGCTTGACGACTTGATGTATATGCGTGTTAAGATCCAACACAATCCGGAAGTTTGACACAACATTGAGGTCTCTCAGTGGCAGATCGATATAAGTATACTTCTTTTCAGTTACACTATCATTTTGTCTTTTAGGGCTTTTGATTTGAGAATCTGAGTGTACAATCCAAACGTGCGAGAGCCTCATGAAAATTTGCTATGTGTATGATATTGTAGAAACTTCGTCAGCATGAGTATGTGCAAGTGGAGTTGTAGAAAGTCAAGCATGTGTGATGTTCAGATCATAAATTTTCTCACATGTTTGTAAATGCTGATGTGAAAAGTTTGTGTGAGAGGTTATTTGGAACAAGGGCAAGTTGAGATTCCCTTACCTTCTAGAATGATGATGAGTTTCCACAAAGCCATTTGAGATAAACCTAAGTGAGAGTGAGCCCTTAGATTTTAGTTCAAAATCAGCAGATCAATGTTACCCAGTCGTCAAACTCTTGGTTTTCGTTTGTCCCTCGCTACACACATCAACTCTTTCACTCGTGCATTGTCATTCACCATTCGCGCACTGGTTCGCATACCGTTTGCTCGAGCTTGCGCTGTTGACTTTTGCTTGTTTGAGTTTGCGATTACAAGGCTCTCTTGCTTCCACCACCAATGATGAGAACAATGATGATGCTAATGTTGATTGATTCCTCATCTTGTTTTCGTAAATCACCAAAACTAGCTCTCTACCAACCTGCGTCTCAACTCAATGCTTTCCAGCAAGCACAAAAGACAGAGGATGCGGGCAAGAACATTTGAGATCGAGAGGACGTAGCGGAAGTGAGAGTACCTTGAGATCACTTGAATCACTCTAGAAAGCGAAGTACCTTGAGATCACTTGAATCACTTTAGAAAGCGAAGTATTTTGACCTCATTTTCAATAATTACTGAAACTGATCTAATACAGAGGGTCGCAACTCCAGGGCAGCTCCTCGAATCCTAGCATCTCTCATTTTGACCTCATAGAAGCTGACCTGGAGCTATGACCCTCTGTATTGGACTTGCACCACCAATTTGGAATCAAAACCATTCTTAGAGCAATGAGCTCTACCAGGTCAGGTGAGCAACGGCGATCCACATTAACCATGTAAAATGTTGGAATTTTACGAAGATTACATGTGACATGAGGATAAAAGTGGGACCATGATTCAACTTGTTTCATGGTTAATACAATGTGAAATAATACTAAGTAGTTAAATGAGTGTCTACTATTTTTACCACAGTAATCAGAGTCTTGTACAGGAAAGTTGGTGGGCTCACCACGTGCAGACCCGGGTCTCGATAATTGCTCCAGCAGGAGAACCCTGTGGCCACTATTTTTCGACTTGAGACATTCCCAAAGTTATTCAGACCTTTCTCGTCTGGAATAATGGACGGTCAGGCATGTATGACTTCAGTGACGCAAATCAGGTCCTGCAGGCGACGGGTTTGGACAGCTTAAAGACCAGGGGGAGAGCGATGGATACGACGAAACCCCACTGAAGTCTGCGCGTCCAATATCCGCCTCTGATTTGTTACCTACTACTAGAGTAGTCAACTCCCCATTGCCGTGAAGACCTCACGATGGCCACGAGAAGTGAGACCGATCAGAAATTTAGTTTTGACCTTAATCGTTGAAACTCGAGAGTCCCGTGGAAAGCTCGAATGTTTGGATCGAGTGAGCTTGTTGTTGAACATGACGCACACATCAGTGTTGCGTTCAAACAAATTTGTTTTAATAAGAGAGGTTTCAGCAACAAGGACGGTCTTCCAATCCTTGTTGCTATATCACACGGTGCCCCCCTCTGCTCAAGGAACTTGAATTGAATCGGACTCCTTGAACAAGTTTAGATTTGCGTTTAATGCAAGTTGATGTTTGCTGCAGGTCGAGCACTATGAGTTAAACTTTCAGCGGATCAGGAGCAGGCTGGTAACAGCAGAACCGTATTCTAATCATGGTTTCAGGAAAGATTGGCTACTAATTTTGTCGGTAGGAGCTCTCCAATACATGCCATAATTGGTACCGTGTGGGAAATTTGATTCTATATGTGACGTTCCATTCCAATGTTCATCCAAAGAGTGACATATCGAGTCTGATGAAAGAGTCTTGTTGACTTGCAAAGTCTGGCATAAGAAGTGACTAATAACGGGTCCGTTGTTATCATTCAAAGAACTCGGTCAAAACTGGAGTATGCACGATGTTCCGCACTGATCAAAATACCGGAACAGGAGCTGGGATGAGTTCAGTTCCAGAATATGGGAAGTTTTAATCCTAACGACGTATCATTAGACTTGTGAGGTGAGAATTTACAAGAGAAAACTGATGTGGAGCACAGGAATTTTGAACAGGAATCTCCATTTGTGTTCTAACTAGCTGGAATCCGCCAGTCACTTACACAACTTCAACAGCGTTTCTATGGCACATTAATCTAGACTCCTTCAAGCTCGCTCGATGTGTAGCATTCTCGAAGCAATCGACCTTCTCCTGAGATGCTTTACAGTGATTCTTCTGTACGTTTCAGGGTGTTTCCTTTGCAGATCAAGCATCAGCTATCAGGTCCTGAAATCAGAGCTGAAATCAGTTGGTTCTGTAACTGTTGACCGTCTGCTGTACTGGTCGTATAACCAGGACGTTATGAATTCTCTCTGTCCATATCAGCTGCGTCCATCAGACCTTCCTCCTTTCAGAAGGTCGGTCGGTCCATCCTACCTTCTCTGTCTAAGTAGATCTAGAAACGCATCTCCCAGTCACATGCATAATCAATTGGTGTAGAATCGAACATACAGCCGCTTTATTCAAAACAGGACAAGCAGTTCTAACACTAACAATAAGATGATCCCAAAACTAGTCCCTCTTGTGGCCCCAATCTAATCTGTGCTAATCTAGCCAATCATACGTGATATCCGATAGCTCATGCGACTGATCTCTTCACCAGCCAGCCCCAAAATTATTCAACGAAAAGCAGCATCTTGATGACTATGACTGAGGAGAAATGTTTTTCCCTGTTCAAGGTTCAGTGAACGCCTTCAGGACCCAATGCGCTTCTGGTCGAAAAAGTTCAATCTTGCCGTAGCGTACATCATTCAATTGTAGAGGGATGACTTCCAAGACTTCGCGCTCGTAGATGATTTTATGTGTGTCCCGATTCTCGATTCTAAACGCATCTGGAAAATCTTCTGAAGCGATGAAATCCCATTCAAAACCTGGTTCGTCGTCTAGAATTGTTAGAACTATACCTTCCCCGCCAGCAGTACTCATTTTCCGTCCATTCGCTGCAATGACCCAGCTATCGTTTCCGCTCTCAGACTTTGTGATGTGGAAGTAATCGACATAATGACCGAGGTCATTTGCCTTCGGGAATGGAGTCGAAGACACTGTTGATTCTGCCGATCTGTTCATGCTGTCAACCAAAACCCGCTTCGTCGCAACATTGATGATATGAAACTTTCCATTGTGAACGGGAGGTACAGATGGCGAATCCATGTTCGCAACCTCCTGAAAATAGCTTTCAGGTTTTGGAGGTAAACAGAACCTGCAGAACAGAAGGATTCAGTAGTATCGATCCACTATCGGGTAAGATTGTGATGCACAGTCCTGAATTGTAGCTTGCTGCTGCAGAACATCGACCTTTGGCTTATCTCTACAGAATCCTTCTAAGACATCAGAGCAATCAAACGAGTTCGTCTACGGAGCTGAAAGTCAGCCGAGGGTCATAGTGGAAATCACATTCTCTGAGGTGAGTGTCTATCAATCCAAAACACTACGCCTAACGAACGATTCAGCTTCATCAGACAAAGCGGAATTGCAGTACAGTTGAAGCAGATCAGGATCAAATCGAGAGTTGGGGGGAAGATTTCGAGTGAAGAATACCTTCCTGGAGCTGAGGAGCCCTGTGTCGAGCTTGATCTCTGGAATGCAATGGATTCCAAGGCCAGTGGTGGTTCTCAATATAAGAGCATGTGACCAAAATTTTCTACAAGCATAAAAAATTGTGTGGACCTCACACAGCGACATGTCAACGTACGGTCTGGTCAAACGGATCTGGTCCAGAAATGCAGCACTGACTAAAGTACTCCTGAATCGAGTCAAAGCTCCGGCACCATTTGCTGCAGTCACAGTGGCCCCAGCACTTTTCACAAATTCGATCAAGATTCTCTCTGGGACTATAAAGTGCCTGTTCCCAAAACACAGACGTGTATGTAACGCTTTTGCTCAATCACGATGTTAGGTGGCTTCTTTTGCTGAGCCTACTTACCACACATCACCAGTTTCGGTTAGCACATTCCACACATGGAGTACCTGCTGACCAAAGGTCCGAATGTTACAGTCATACTCTTGCCGTCAAGGACATCGAATTAATCTATATTAATTCGAAACGAAACGATGGAAAGATCCCTTCAAGTATATGAAACCAAAAGATTAGGATCAGAGTCGGACCTCATATCCTTCGCAATCGTAAATATCTCTTTGCATACCCCAGCTATCTAAGGCAAACGGTCTACGTAGTTTAGTAGCATACTAAGAACATAGCAATGTCATGCTCTGTTGGAAGAGCTATGAATTCACTCAAATGTACTACGCAAAATACTAATTTTTTTTTGTATTTGCGTCACCTAGCATGGTAAACTGTAGTTCATTTCTTACTAATGTATGGGATCCCATAGCTTCATCTTGCTGTCAGGATCGTAATGTTATCGAATAAAATGCTCAACAGTCCATCCGTAGAGAAAACGACACGAAGATAATTTCCGGAGTAGCAGCAGGAGGAGCAGCTTGGTTCCAACCATTTCAAAGGTGTCGTTGTGGAGAACTGTGATAATGCAAGCCTAAGAGAGACCCTCAACGAACAACAGTATTAAAGGACAGACACGCTTGCCAAGATTCAACAATTGCGAATCGTGACTCATGTGAAGCGAGCTTTTCTGTGATACTAGCTGGGACTGGGGGCAGAAAACGTGAGAACCTACAAGCTTTCTACAAAACGACTATATAAAGCACAAGCAACAAGATTCTATTCTTATCAAAGTCCATCAAGTTGCACGAAGGGGAATCCCACACCATTGGATGTATAACATCGCCTCTAGACTCAACTATTCATATGCCGAGGCATGATTCATGTCGGAACCAGTCCTCTGTAGGGAAGTGAAAACAAGGGAAGAATCTACAGAGAGTCATTACCATATTAAGTCTGAGGTGTTCATGTAGGTTCGAAGACATAGTTCTGAGATGTTCTTGATTGGGTCGGAGGAATAACAGCTGTTTTACCAGTTCTTTAAATTAATGACACTCATCGTTACTCGCGGTACCTTCATGTAGGAAACAGTAGGGATGGGCACGTAGCCGGGTAACTTTCGACTACCCCGCTAGGGCTCAAATTTAGCCGGCTAGCCCGGAAGAAGAAAATCAACCGAAATATTCGGCCTAAATAAATGTTTATTGGATAATATCGGCCGAATCTAAGGAAATAATTGACCTAAAACGTAAATTCGGTCCGAGTTTAGGGTTCATTTTCGGCCTCGGATAGCGGTGGCAATATATATCGGCTAGCCGGCTAACAAAAACTATTAGCCGGTTAGCCGAGCCGTGCCCATCCCTAGGAAATAGTTAGTGGGAAACGCAATTTTATTTTTATTTTTCTCAATTTGATCTTTGTAATTTTGCCTTGAAGAAAACGTCATACTGACGTGATGACTGTGTTAGGCTACAGACGGAGGACTTATGACAACGTGACGGCTGTTCGTGGGTGCCAGAGTAACGGCTGGGCGGTGCGGGTCATCGAAAAGAGATTTTTGACAATCAACGAGTTCAACGAGTCTTCTGGTAAGTTATTCAACAGGCATTTGACTTGATGTCACGAGTATTGACACAACGAAGCTAGATGCGATTAAATTAGATTGCATGAATTAGATGTGAAGTTTCTTGTATTGAAATTAGTCTTTGTATGCCCTGATAATTTGCAGAAAGCTAAGTAACCCAATAGGATGGAGAGTGCACCTAGATTTCTGGGATGCTTTTTTGTGGTCACAAGGTAGAGTATACAATGTTGACCAACTTGGTTATGATTTGGACAATATAATCCGTTTGAGATTGACAACAATCTCTGTTCAACTTGCGAGAAATAAATCTCACATATGGATAGAAACTTGACTTGATCAAAGATCCATTCTTGTACCTCCCTCATACTAAACGATTACTTACTCTTTTAGGAAGTTTGCCGAAGAACTATTTGCAGCTCGCTTAGTTCATGCATGTGGTTGCTAAGCATAAGAATGACAAAACTAAGGAGCTTCGCGAAATAAAGTAGACGATTGCGCATTTGAAAGAGCAGAATTTCGATGCGGAATCTTCTTCGCGCAAGTTTTGAGAGTAGTACGCAATTTGTGATAACAAGGATCTGAACACTAGATGATTTATGGCCAAAAAAGAACATGGATGTCGTCTTGAATCTGCATGCTTAGATGCATGGAGAATTGCAAGAGCTCAAGTGGCGGTTTATGTATTTGTGGCAAGTGAAAAGAAATCGTCAGTTGTTATCTCATCCCTCCAACCAAATCTTCGGAAGCAGTTCTTTTTAGCATTGCAGATGCGATTTATAGTGTATATTCAGTGGTAAAATCTGAAAGATTTGTTTCATCGTTCATTATATAAATGCTTTTTATGCTTGGAAAAGCACAAGACTAGATAGTATATATCATCTGGAACAGATGCAGATGCATTTATCTCCACTACGATAAGTTATATGTGAAGATGCTCATATGATCATTCATGAATTGTTGAAAATTCAGTTCTACTTGCAAACTTTGTGCTGTAAATCAATTGTCCCATGGTTTGTCCTCTGATTGATGATTGAAATTCAATAACTTGAAAACTCTTTCTTTTCTCAATCTGGTGATTGAATGTGGTAAACGCTGTTGAATTGGTCACATGTGCAAGTAATTTATGTATAATTTTAATCCTAAACATGCAAAGTTAGTAACTAAGCACAAAATTGTTTGAAGTTTGAATATTTTAATAATATTTAATAATTTATATTTTTTTTATTATTAAAATCATGGATTTTGAGTTGCCATTAGGTGCACATTTCAATTATGGATTATTAATTTATTCATGTATGTCATTTATAGACATCTTGAATTATTTTTATTCTTGAAAACTTTGATGAAGTATAATAGTTCAAGTGATAATTTAATTTGTTGATATTTTTATTTATACCTAGACGGTTCAAAATTATGGTTTTGATTATCTATTAAATTCAATGTATAAAATCTATACAAGGTATATATAATATATTTTTGCTTATGATTCAACTATTGATTAAGTTAAAAAAAATTCCGTTCATCAGATATCAAAATTCAATCTTCACTTCATCAGATACTTGAATTATTTAAGTATTTTGGACTAATGTAAAGTTTTTAGATAACTTTTTTCAGCCTTTGTTAAGTTTAACTGATTTATTTGAAAGTATTTGGAAATAAGGAATAAAAATTCTGAAGTATTAAAAAAATATACTAAGTTGTATGATGTTTTAGAATATACTTGATGTTTGAAAAAATATTGTGAATGATTTAATGATATGAAATCTGTAATATTTTAAGAAGAGCCAAAAAATAATTCAACTTTAAACAATAATGTATGATTCAAGTTTTTGAAGCTACAAGAAGTTCATGAATTAGTATCATTCCAATGAAATAGCTGAATGACCAATAGCAAATGGAGATGTTAGAATTCTAGTGTGAGAATTCACTTAAGAGATCTGAGAAATTGATCGATATTTAGATGAATTTGAATGAAGCAATATTACTACAATATTAAATTTTAATTCAGTTATCAAGTTTGCGTTGTCTTTAACAAACTCGTTCTCATGATGTTTTACGATAACAAATTTTTGGTGTCTCATCAAGTTTTCATATTTCACATTGTCATATATGCTCTCATGTTATTGTCAAAAACTGCGCATGTGATCAAACAATATATCATATAATAATTAATTAAAAGTTTATGTCATTTTATTGGATTCATCAATAGGTAATTTTCATAGATTTTGTTCAAAACTCTTATTCTTAAATATCATGATTTGATACAACGGATTATTTTATAAGTAAGTAAAGTATCAATGATATATCATAATATCAATCAACCGTCCAGGTCTTCAACTATCACTTCTAATCTTGGTAGTTGATAGTAGATAAGTAATGGTGATGATCTCATGAAAATTAAACATTAATAGAGTGAAACTCTATTTATTCATGTGTCTTTCTATAAACTCATGCTCTTAATCTACCCGTTGTTTTAATTTACGTTATGTATATTTATTGATTTTTTTAAACACATATTGAAAATATTTTTTAGTATTCTTAGTTTAAATACATATGCAAGAATGTATATTTACAAAAATTTTATGCCAAAATTCATACAAGCAGCTGCTATCGTAGTAAAAAAATAAACAAAAAATACATTAATGTCAATGTGAAAAGTATAATATATTTTTTACACAAATGAATGTTTGAGTATACTTATTTGTCATTTACATGTACATACCATCGTGAGATAATTCTCAATATGTAATTTCATGATCTTTGAAGTTATATATTTGCACAAAAATAATCTCAGTATCTCTGTTTAATAAAAAAACTTTTCATTCATTTTATTACAAACTAATGAATCTTAAAATTAATTTTATGAAAATGATTTTTATAAGTTTTCAAAATTTTATAGAAATGAATTTTTTTCAAAATACTAGATTTTTTGCATTGAAAAATTAAAACTAAAAAATCATAAATGAAAATAGAGATTATTGTTATAAAATATTAAGATCAAATATTGATTTTAAGAAAACATATGAAAAAATGTTTAAAATTCGTCATGTTGATTTATATTAAAAAATATTATTTTTTAACATATTTTTAAAAAATGAAAGAATTAATTGCATTTATTAAAAGAAAATGTGAACTTTTTTTCATTTTATCTTTACAGAGCTTAGAATTGATACTGATAACTTCGTAATCAAAGTAAAAATTTAAATAATCGAAAATAAGAATTTACGAAATTTTGTATTGAAATATAATTTCCAAAAAATACTATTAAATGAAAGAAAAATATGATAAGTT